ATGATCCAAACAGGTGTTCAAACCCAACAAAACGTGTTGCAGCTGTGTTAACGCCAGGGCACGCGCCAACGGGCTGTAGGCGACAATGCTAATGCCCAATTCCTATGCCCGAAAGAAGAAGAGTTCATGGAACAACGGTGCGTCTCAAAATCAAAAGAGCTCCCAGAGAAGGCTAAAAACCGTTTCCTCTCTCGCTCTCTCTCTCTCTCTCGAGCACCAGGACCACACAACCTTCCTGCATTCCTGTACCAACAGCTTCAACAACCCTTGCACCTTTCCTGTCAGCACCAAAATGGTTTTCACGTGGTTTTTTCGTGAGGTGAGGTGTTCATAATTTGGTGTACCCTTTCGCAGTGCTGTTGCTGTTATTGGTTTTCAGTCGTGGAGCTTTCGTAGCTGTTTTTATAAAAGCCTTTCGCAGGGTTCTTCCAAGTCTTGTGGACGAGTATCTTTCGATTTGCCGCAGCAGAGTCAACGTTTGAGACAATTGATCCACACAATTTTGTCAAAAACCGCTCCGTTCCTCACGGATGTTCAGAAGTTCAACGGTTCAGGAAAAACGAAAGACCAATGGTTCTTCACGGCCGTCCTTGCAGGTCTCTTTCAGGTATTCTTCCACCAGGTTCCTGCGCGTTCCCGAGCTTTCGGCTCGCGTCGTGGAGCAGGGAGGGGGGAGTTTTTGGGTCACAGAGATTCCATCCCTGTTGAACTTCTTGTGAAGCATTGGTCAATGGCCAGTGAGCATAGACATACTAGTAACTAGTAGGAATACACCAAATAAATGAGGGAGATGATGAACATAAAAGAACACCAAGATTTAGCTAGGAATTTGTTATTGTATGTTCTGTCTGTTTCTGAGTCTGGGTGTTCTATCTGCATTTGAGAGTATCTTCATTCTAATATTTACCGTCAATGCATGCTTTTGTCTAAATCAAGACTAATAACTCCCTTCATATGAATTCTGATGGTATGTCGTGCATTCATAATTTTTCTAATCACGGACAATAAGAAAAACGTAGAATTGTTGGTGTGGGCACTTTGAGAGATTGGCACCAAAGAGAAGAACAGGACTGGTGCGTCCTTTCTGAGTATTGAGACGTCTTCGCTGCCAGCCATCTGTCAACCATCACCTCCCATCGCTCTCTCCGACGTCGTTTTGCTTCGGCCGACCTCGTCACCAGGCTCCACTCGATCTGCATGGCGGTCACCGGGTGGATGGCATGCAGGGCACGGGTCCATTCGGGGCTAAACTCCGAAAGGCCCACGTACTTCACCTTGCCTCGGACCGCGGACACGACGGAGATACGCCCGGACCGCTGGTTGCTGCGACGCGCGGACTCGTTCGCCGTAGCTCAAAGAGAAGGGGCACCGGGCGGGGGGGTTGCTGTACAGTTGAAGTCTTGGTGAAGTTGATTTGGCGCAAAAGGAGGAGAATGAAAAACGCAACAGACTCGGCTCCGTCGCAGGAGGACGAAGACTGTTGGACAGAAATCGGGAAAAGTACCCAAAATGGAGAAGATCTCAAAAATGAGTTTCGGATCTTCAGTGGTGCCGAGCAAAGCACGGTGGACAAACAATTTTTTGGCAGAGCTTTGCCTAAGCTCGAGCTGCCGTGGCTCCACTACTTAAGACTTAAGAGCTTTAGAAACAAGGACCTGTTCCACGGGGGTGTTTCTTCAGGCTGCACAGGGCGGGCACAGCTTCTGGGCTGCACTGATGAGAAGGTGGATAATTGCCGGTCAATAATCCCTGTGGTTCTTTTCACCAATGGATCATAGAACAAATGGACACATTCTGCTCATTCAGCTCTTTTCTGCGGGGTTTCGCTAGCTGTTGTTCGTTCTCTTCCAGCAACAATCAATGCCTGAAAGCTCGGCTCCGTTTGTTGACTAGTTGTGTCTTGCCCAAGTCGCCCATGGCGACGATCTCCTGGAGATCAACGAGTCCGAAGCGACTGTCGGACCCCACGCGACGAGTCGTCGCTCGCACGAGACTCGTCAAGCGCTCGCCATGAGTGCCCGGATGCGTGAAACAAAGCCCACAAGAAGGGCGATGGCTTGCGGCTTGATGGGAACAAGGTCACGATCCAAATTCATGCGTTCCGACTTTCTAACCATCCGAATCCAGCCCCCCCTGGAGACCTTCATAGAGCGCATCCATGCTTCGGCTTGCTCCAAGGTGGGTGGTGGCCTCAGACTCACCAAGGTGACGAGTCCAGTTGCTCTGGTGAAAACGAAAAAAAAAGAAGGGTGGGAGATAGTGCATGAACGTGGGATTTACATAATATAGCGGATATGTATGGATATGTGCTTTGTTTTCCTGAACTCTTGCTGGTTGCTGTTGCTGTGAACGCTTTGTTACTACCCGGGCGCCCTTCTGTTGGGTGCTAGGATGAATCCAACAAACCCAACCTTCTTATAGATTAATACCCCTCATGGTCATTGTCTCGGGGGTACCTGGGTAGCTCAGCTCTGCAGTCCAGGACACCTGTGGATGTAGTAGAGGTCGATGCCTCGGCTCGTCCGGCACGGTGGCGTCCCCAACGTCCGTCCGGAGTTCGACCACCGGACGGACGAGCAGTCGGACGAGCAGACTGGACGGTCTCCAGAGCTCCAAGAGCCAACCGCTCCAGCTGAACGAGACTTCCAGCCTTCCAGCCCAAAGAAAGTATATTTCCTACAAAGGAACCAAACGCAGCTACTTGTAGGATCTTTATAACGCAAAACCGCTGCTGGGTGTTCCATCTCGTTTCTTCCAAATGTCCACACATCTGTTCCCCCCCAGACCGACCCTCCGTCGCTGTTCTTCTCCACCGAGCTGCTTTCCAGTCCCAGCCGTGTCAAGGAACCGTCGACAGCCTCCAGAGTCGATGCCAAGTCATAGGTCTCCCCATGGGCACCGGGCCAATACCTCGGATCAGGCACTCGAGTGCACCGAACATGGACCAGACCGGCGCGAGCGAGCCACAGAGAGGCCCCGGTGTCCCGGTGGAACTTTGGGTGACGGTGTCCCGGCACGAATAGACCCACACCATGAAATGTTTCAAGAGGTTTCAAGTGGTCCTCCTCAAAGAGGACTTCGGGCCGCCCTGGGCGCCACGGGCAGTTTTCGTGCCGAAAAATTGAGAAGATCATCGCCAAGGGCCAAGGGACTTGGTCGCCACGGTGAAGGACTCGCGAGGCACGGTCCGGAGGAAGCGCCCCACCTGCTCCTCAACCCGGGCGCGGGAGCATGTCCGTGACCGATTTGCAAAGCGTCACGAGGCTTTCTGGTTGCTGACTTCACGTGGCTGTTCTTCAAAGGTCAGAATTGTCCTTCCAAAGCCATCTTCATGTCCATCTAAGTTGGATATTCATTGGACACCAATCTACATGCCCGCTCTTTTCCATCAACCATTGCGCAGCCTCCAGCCAAATATCTCTTCTATCGGTGAACGCCCGAAAGAAGAGGGAATCCTGATTCTCAGGGCTCGTTTTTTTGGATATGCTCGGCCTCGGGTCCCGCAGAAACACCACCCCCATCCACCCGGGTCTCCTCGTTGTTCTTCGTCTCAGACTTGTACACTTCCGCCGAGTCAAAGTGCCTGCAGCACAGAGTACCAGCTGCCAGCTGCCATGAGCGAAGGTTGCAGTGTCCAAATGCCATAAAATGCCTGTAAGGCTGATGATAGTGGAGCATTCTGAGACAGAAGTTCCAAAAACTTGGTATTCGCCACAACAGTCTGACATTACTTGACCCATGGCTGTGTTCCCCCGTTCACCACCACGGTCAGAACCTGTAGCCCATGTCATAGGCGGCTTTCAGAAGTTTCACGCAGTCTTCATCTTCCATGGAGGTGCCATAGAAGGCCGTGATGCCCATACATCCTGAAAGCGCCCAGCTTTCTGAGTGTAGCACGACAGACCAGGAAGTTGAGAAGCCTCCAACCAACTGACTTGATCACGCACCTCCCCTCTAGTTCACTGTGATGGGCTTTACCATCACCCCACGAGACCCCAGGCGGGTCTTCTAAGCGATGAATGGTGAAACAAAAAAGCACGTCGCCCCAAGTTGGAAGAAGAGATTTTCGCAACTTTTGCTCGAAAAAAGATACTATGATGAGATTGTCCCAAGGTGATGAGATCTTCCCTGCGCCTGTGACAAGGATCTTTGGAGAATACAAGGAAAGAACCAAGGATCCCGGGCAAGTGGACCTGTGTTTTGGTGGGGATATGTCTCGCAAGCTCCTCATAGAAAGAAACAACTAAACAACTACGTCCTGAGTATCTCGGTGGTCCGGTGAAGAAAAAAGAAAAGCCTCGTTCGACACCTCACGGTCGACGGTCGACATAAGCCCAGTATCCAAAGCCCAAAGGCGAGGCTTTCAAACCTGCTGCACGGTGCACAGTGCCCAGAAGGATCGATCAATGGCAGCTGTTCATTTGCATAAACCCCTGATTCGCTCTTCATTGCATTTCACCGCAAGTTTGCAGAAACGTCGGGCCACGTCACTTGCATTCCAGCAATCATTGAATTTCCCTGTCGGCTCTGTTTGTGCCATCAACGTCCATATTCAAGGTAAGGAAGCTACGTCGATAGGTAAGCCAGCCGGACACCAGATTGGTACTGGATCAATCGCAGGTTGAACGAGAACCGCTCAGCTTTATTTTCCCGATAAATCTCCGAACAAACCCCAAATGATGTGAGCAATGGTGCGGCTTTGCAGGTTCCCCTCTGATTTTGAGAGGCAAAATACTCTCCCAGGTCGGCGCCACTCCCTCGCCTGCGCCAAGGGTCACTTCCATGCTGGGCTGCGAGGGGTGTGCAGGTTGAAGCGAGTGGTGCTGTGAACTGTCCGCGAGCCAATGCTGCAGTCAAGTGCTTTCACGCTTCAAGATGGATCTCAAAGTTCGCACCGGTTGTTGCATCAAATTGTTGTATGGAGTTGTTCGGAAGGTGTCGATCTCTCTGCAAACAACTGCTATCAGCTCCACCTGTCAACCCCGTCAACTCCACCTCGCCTGGCACAAAGGGCCGATAGCGTTCCTTTTCGCCGCGGAGCTGCAAGAGGACCTCCCGACAGTCAGCTTGCTTTGAAGTCCGCTGGTGGAGTCTTTTTGGAAGACGGAGCGCACAGAGCACACAATGAAGGACCAGTTGTTTTGTGTAATGTTCAAGTTTAATTTGGTGCGGGTTTTGCTGGTTTAAGATGGAAAATATTTGTAGGTACAGTAGCGCTTCAAAGGTAGCGCTTCAAAGCGTAAAAATTGCCAGCAATTAGATTCCTGCCTGGTAAAACCGTTACGTAGCATGTCTGAAAGTCAATCCAGCCTGAGTGACTAAATCCTATCAACAGACCAGTGGCCGTTGGATCATCCTCCCATGAAATAATAGCCCGAGCAAACCGCAGGTGACAAGGGAAATGGGAAAAAACGAACGTCACCAACTCCTGAGTTGAGTCCAAGTTTTCATCTGGCAAAGAATCTGTCCTACATAAGTCTGGACCTCCTGTGCCAATAATGAAGGAACAAATAGCGCCTGCTGGCGGATGGCAGTGTGATGCTCCTCCACGGGCAGAACTTTGGGGTTCTCTGGCTGAGGCACTGCGTATCGTGGGAGAGACGCATGCCTGCCACCTTGATGACATACAGGTCATCCCAGGACCATCTTCCACTAAACAGATTGGAACAATCAGAACCATGAAATCGCCACATGAACCGGTTGAATCAGTGATTCGTGAACAAACTGCGTTTGGGCTGTTAGAAACAAACAGTTCGCCCAAGTCCCAAGGAGGTAGAGCTCCACCCCAGCGAACCGGCCCATTACATCCGAAACATCCCACTGACCTGAAGTTGCCAAAGGACCGAAACAGGGCTTGCCGCGGCGATTTTTTCAGGTCTGGACCTCACCCCTCTGCTCCTGACTGCCATAGAGCTGGTCCGACAATGCACGAAATTGGCAATTGCCGTCCTTAGGATCAAGTCATCCATGAAGGACCCCACACAGCACCCATTTGGAGATGTCTTTTCTCCTCAGAAACTTCCCGCATTGACTAGCAACCCAGAAAGAGTCCTGCGTTTGAAGGATTGAAATGATTGAACCAAGATTGTTGACTCCACCCTTCACGGACTATGGAACGATGCGATCTGCAAGGAGATGGAAAGTGGCAAAGTACTAGGTCTCAAAATCCCAGCATTGCCTCATTCTTTGTCAAAGCAGTTGCTGGTAGCTAAGTCTGTGCCCCAAGACTGAAGTCTTCTTTCACAAAGTCAAAGACGTCATGGAAACCACGGAAGTCCCATCTACCGCGAAGCCATCCGAAGACCGCGACGATCTTCGATACGACCCCTCTGGGCACCGCGACCCCCTCGACAGGACGCTCGCGAAGATTTTGCCTCGGCATGGCATGGATACGAAAGTTCCAGGACTCTCAACGGAATTCGACGATCTTCTCGCAACCGTGTTTCTCCACGGAACTTGGCCTCGTTTCGTCAAAAAGAACAAGCAATGAAAACACCACGCCAAGCCGCGCTCTCAACCTTTGGAGGAGCAGCTCATGTCTGGCGGCGGCCTGGCACGGAGCAGAACTGGGAGCCAATTGGACCAAAAAAGGCTCCAGAAGTCGCAGACCCCAGCTGCGAAGTCGCGGCCTGGCCTCTTGGTGGGCCCGCTCCGCCACAGGGACAGCAAGGACCTGGCCGAGGCGCTGGCACGTGTGACGGTCGCCCTGCCTCACTCAGAGGTGCAGACGCCAGGGTCCTAATGAGTCAATGAGTCATAAGTGGCTTGCGTAGAAATGACTCAGATGTGCTTCGCTCAGATGGTGATGCTACCAAGATTTCTCCGCCTTGACATGTCTCCAAGCAGTTCTTCTTAGAGCTCGAAGACGACCCCCCACAGCCCCACAAATCGCATCGGCCGCCTTCGGCTCGAGGGGCACTGCCTGGTGGAAAGGAAACGGCTCGGAGGACGGAAGGCTTTCATCAGTTCTGCTTCACAACGTTCATCGAAGACGGCTCTCACCAGACAGGGCGACAGCTGGCCACGCTGTTCGAGAACAAAGGTTCTCACAAACTGGTGTGTAGAGTTTGAGCAATGAATCATTGCAGGAGACTCAAATCTTCCTTGACGTCACGATGTTGGGAGAAATGCAACCTATCATGAGCTTGTGAGAGGGCATGAACATAAGTACATAAGAAAGCCAGAGATTTACAATCATTCTGAACTGCTCGTCAGTTCACGTCACACGCGAACGGGCTGAAGGCCTTCCAGAAAGATCCATAAGCTTGGTTCGAAGTGCTCCACCTTGTTTCGCAGGCAAATTGGCAATTTGGCGAACTTCTGGGTTTACCAACTGTTGATGTTGCTGACTTAAGAACCGGTGCGTTCACGCCAAAGCCAAAGAACTGGGACGGAAAAGATCTTTTGACAGGACTTCGAAAGATTTCATTCAACGTCCAAAATTTGCTGCACAGGAGTGGTGGAGCAGGAAAAACTAAAGGACACTGGGTTGTACAGAGGTATCCAAAATCTATTCAAGGTCTTTTTGACATACCACAGCCAAACAGCTTGAGTCGACCGAGAAAGCTGCACATGGTAAGTGAAACATAGTGAAACATAGTGAAACACTAACAATCCGAGAAAAGCACCGAGAGAAATCTTTCAAGAAAAATGAGCCGTCCGGAGCACCGCTACCTTCGCTTCGCGTCCGATCGCTATCCCACCCCTCCAGTCAACCAACCGTCAACCCTCCTGACATCGGTTCTTCACAGGGAAACGCTTCGCCGTTTGTGGGTCGTTTTTGGTGATGGAAAGCGCACTGCCTTGTATGCATTCGGTTGAACTAACTGCACATCTCGCAGGATCGTGTTCGCATCCCAAAAAGTAAAAACCCAAGCACCTCTAAAGCCTCTTGGCCTGTCAGCCATTGTTTTGGCAGTTCCGTTTCGCACCCCACAGTTCTCTTCTGCCCTGCCCGTGCTGAAAAGCATGGCCCACCTCGAATCCGAGGCCATGGCACAGTCGCCCCACAGACACGCAGGGATCAAGAGCAAACCACTCCAGTCTTCAAAATATGATGTCTTGAATTATCTTCATATGCAATGTAGAGCTTGGAACAAATCAGTATAGAAATGTCAAACACCTTCAGGGAGTGTAGTAGACTCAGTGTAGACATGAGTGGGAGAATCCGTGTCGAAATCACACGCGTCACCGGTTGCCAATTGCTTCGCATCGCTTCGCACTGCTGCATCACTGTGCTAGATTTGGTGCGGCACCTCTTTAGGCTGCTGAAAGGCCACGCGAAGAGATGCCGGACTCCACACAAAAGGGTACGAAAAAGGCAGTAAGCCATAGTAAGCCCGTGCCAAGTCGATCCTTTGACGTTTTGGATTTCCCCGACCCGTTTGAGACAGGAGCAGGTCGGTCACCGCTGGACAAAGCGGGAGGTCGGACAGGGATTGACCCAGAGGTCCGGAACGTTGTCTGACCCAAAAACTCGTCCATGGAGTCCGTAGCGTCCTTTCTCGCTCCGTTCGTAGTACGGCCAGGAGCCCCTAGTAGCGTCCGATCGCTCCGTTCGGTTCGCGATGCCAGCAGCCCCTGTGTTTCAGGCGCCTGAGCCCTATGCATCTCCAACTCTTCCCACACCAATCATCATGTCTTCCAAGATCATCACTTGGCTCATTGATGATGTCTTGAGAAGAAAGGAGACCGCACCGTCATCCTTCACCACTTGGGCTTGGTTGCTTCTTCGAATTTCGAGATGCCTCCACTTGGCTTCCTTTCAGTCATACCTCACCTGGACTCTTGAAGCCATGCCATATGGCCATCGTCCCATCTACCACAACGACATCCTCTGCTGAACAGCGGACGGCAAACCCTCTAACCTCCAAGCATGCCAGCTGAGGCTTTGCAGTCGAGGACCGGCCCGAAGAGGGAAAACATGTCCTGGCAGATTGGGTCACAGATCAGGAAGTGTGTGAGGTCTTGTTCTCACCAAAGAAACAGGTCTCCCCATGAGTTTGATCAAATGAACCTCCTCGGGCAGGTCGAGTTGACATGTTCCAGGGTTGACATGTTCCTGGCCGTCTCAACCCAAGAAAGCCATAATGTCAAAAAATATCCATTGAATCATATTGAATCTGGCCGCTGTTGTTCTGGGCAGCCGAAGCCAATCTGCTGTCGCTAGCGCGACTCGCTCGGGACCTGGCGCTCGGATCGCTCAAGCAAGCTCGGATGGGTCGTGCGTCCTGCAAGCTCTGGGAGCTGATCTTCAAGTCCAAGCCCTGCGGATCAGCACAACGGCGGTCAACTTGGATGCATCAGCTGACTGGGACGGGACGTAGCTGAGTCATACTCAAGTGCTTTATATGGGTCATTAGGACAACTAAATATAGACAGTGACTAACATGTACCTTGGGTGGACAAAAGTCACATAGCATCCGGCCTCTAGCTGCAAACGATGCCCCGTGTCCTGGCTATTGAATCAGATGCGGGTGAACCGGTCAGTTTTTTCGTCGACATGGGATGGTTGGGAATGCGAAAAGGATCCGAAAGCGGACAGTAGTGATAAGGCGGCACCTGTACATCCAAGCGGAATCGCTGGCATCTGTGATGAGCCAAAGTGATATCAAGACACAAGAGATTTGCAAGGTTCAAGGGATTTGATCTGGGGACTGGGATGTCCAAAAAGCCAGCAAGACCCTGAGGAATGGCTAGTTATGGGTAGTTCACCAGCCATGAAACCTACCTGACGCCTGCACCGCGGCCAGGTAAGATCGCAGCATAGGGCTTTGTGAAAAAAAAGATGAAAACAAAAACACTTTGAGTTTTCTGAGTACTGACTCCAGTAACCAGGAGGCTTTTCAACATGCTTGGAGCATCACCTTCCCACAGCCCTGCTCAACGGCTCTGCTGCGGTACAAACGCTGGGCCACCCTGCCATCGTCTTCCAAATAGCCTGGCATGGTTTCTTCACCATGCCAAGGACTTCATCGTCCAAGCTCTATCTACCAGCTCCAGCAACCCGGTGGCTCTTTCTGAAGAGTTTCTTCTGGTTTCGAAATATGTCTGTTTGCTGCTTCAACCTTTTTCAACATTCCAGAGTCCAGTCATCCTTCCAGTCCGTTTCTGGATGTCTTCTTGGATGCAAAAACTATCTTGACAAGTCGTGGCGGTTTCAGGGGAGAGCGCTGGAGGGCATAGGTCCCAAGCTATCGCCACGGCGAGTTGGCTAAGTCACCCTTAGGAGCTCATCCTACAATAGAACTTTTCAGTGTTGAACTACCCAGGGAAAGTGACTCTTGCCAACAAGGACTCCTTCAGCTGTCGTCCTACCACGCAGTCCTCCTATCGCAGTCGCACACCTCCACTTGGCTCCACAGCAGACATCTGCAGGTCTTCCCTGTCGTCTTGGGAAGACCAGGTGGATCCCATCGAGCATATTCCGAAGTTTGTTGAGGATATCCATCTAAGAAGATATACATTACATGTGTACATCACTACTGTTCAGAGTACTTCCCAGACTTCGCTCTGTGTACTCTCTCTCCCCTTTTTCGCTGGCACTCTCTGCAGTTGTGGTCTCTGCACGTCGCTCTGACGTTGTTGCGTTGGAAACTCACAAAGTGTGAGCAGTGTTCATAGCCACACATCCATTCCTGGATGCAGCTTAGATACCCATCTATGGAAACCCGTCCACCAAGACGTATCCATAGCGATGTATCTACCCAACCAGGGAACCCCCCTGGAATGAACACTAGACCTGACAACAGGTCGCCCTTAAAAGATACTTCCCAAGGCGGGGGAACCAACGTGGACCCGGCCATAGGGGTGGGCTGGGTGGGACAGAAACTCCACTGTCCCACTTTTGGCTTGAGCCAAAATGGACAGTGTACCAAATGTAATGAAGACTGTGCACCCAAACCTGCCCAAAGCTCGACACAGTTTTACATTACATGTGTACATCACTACTGTTCAGAGTACTTCCCAGACTTCGCTCTGTGTACTCTCTCTCCCCTTTTTTCGCTGGCACTCTCTGCAGTTGTGGTCTCTGCACGTCGCCCTGACGTTGTTGCGTTGGAAGCTCACAAAGTGTGAGCAGTGTTCATAGCCACACATCCATTCCTGGATGAAGCTTAGATACCCATCTATGGAAACCCGTCCACCAAGACGTATCCATAGCGATGTATCTACCCAATGCATTTCTCCCAACGCACTTTAAAGAAAGAGACCGACTCGCAGAGTGACGGAAAAGGGAAAATACCAGTGGTTCGAAAAATGTGGCCACTCGACTAGTGAAACCCTGGTCGTGGTGCCATCTATCCGTGTGTCCATCACGGGAAATCGCATCACTCCAATTACTTTTGGAGGGGATCCACTCAAAGTAAATCCAGCATCGAAGTGAAAACAAAAGAATATGAATCATGTGACTCATATGTTCGAGGTCAGGACTGTCTGATCTGCCTTTGATGAGCGCCATCAAAGCAGCAGTGTTGTCAATGTACCATGTGCCGCGGCGATTGCGGAATCACTCAGGTGTGGTAGTCAACGCAATGAGAACTTGCAATAGCTCTAGCTGTGCTATCTTGGCATCCCCTGGCGTCCATAGGTCATAGATGGATGAGGGGAGGTAGGACACAAACCCAAGCCGGAGCTCTACGTCCTCGTGGAAGAAGACAAGGAGAAAACCACCCGCGCCTTCACCTGGGGTCTCCAAGGCAGCGTCGGACGCTGCAACAAAGCGTTCATGGTGTCGTGGCCAGACATCAAGTTCACGCTCTGGATGGATAGAGATCACGGCCTCAAGAATCTGGAAGCATTGTTCAATTGCGGGAGTCAGCTGATCACCTCGGACAAGTTGGCGCTCCTTAATGGCATGGAGGCCTCCACATCCAATCCGTCCGTAGACGCCCTGTTCGAAGAAGTTGGCCAGTCCGTACAGCTTGGCTGCAACACCAGGCTTGAGAGTATGCGTCATTCATGGATAATGGCTTTCAACTTGGATTCTAGGCGTTCCCTCGCCCAAAAAGAGACGTAACCTCCTGACAGGGCGGCAGAAAGATCATGGTCCAGGCCTAAGAACAAGCCTTTGGGGTTCATAGCCTGGCGCTTCTCCTCCGCAAAGGGGGTGCCCAGAAGTTGGTTTAAGACTCCAAAGGCCCATTGAGCCGACCCCCGGCTCGAAGACCAGTCTTGAATGGAAGCATCGTCAAAGTAGAGCGAGACCAGGACGTAGCACAAACGCCGCCCGAGGGCTTCCACAAGCCGGCTGTATCGGTTAAACGAGGTCACGGCAAGAGGAAGACCAAAAAGCAGGCCAGCATAGACTTGGAAGGCTGGAGCAGCCCAGAAAGTGACTACACATCCTCGCGTCTCGTCGACCCCCATAGGACTGTGCCGATAGGCATCCGGCCAATCTTCCCCACCTGACTCCCAGGTGTCAGTAGCTGCCGCTTGGGCTAGTTCGGGTGGGCTCATATGGCGTAGGACTTGGCTGATGTGTTGGGCCGGTCTGAGGGGCGAGCAGAGCACCAGCTTGTTGGCATCGGATGACCGCAGGGTCTGTCCTCCAGCATCGGCGTTGTCGATAATACGCTGCTTACCCGAGGATTGGGTAATCACACATCGTGGTATCAAACGATACGGCTGCCCATGCAGCTGCTGACGCAACTGTGCCAGTGTCAGAGGGGGGGTACAGAAACCCCGTGCTGCATCCTTGGTAGACTGTTCCAGGAGGAACTGATCATCTTTACCCGGCTTGAGGGTGGACAAGATCTGGTGATTGCGCGCATCGCATCCCGACAGGACCTCTGTGAGAGTAATACGATCAGCAGATTGAGATGGAAAGACCCCGTAGCACGGCGCGTAGCCCACCGCTGGGAGGCCTTCAATAAGCCCGAATGGGTATGTAACATCAGGCCATGAAGTCAACAAGATCAACAGTGCAACGAAGCCTAGGTCTCGAGTGGCCGTGGTAGCCTGCAAGGCGACAGGTTGAAATTGCCGCAGATGTCGCCCTACGGCACACCAACGCCGATGGAGCTCCCGCAGCGCCCCCACTGCTGTA